GAACAGGTGGCAACTTATTGGTCATGTTACGCTTGCCTTCTAATGCTAAAGCCAAACATTGCAGTACTTGGTCATGGCGCCAAGTAAACCGACCTTGGCTAAGAGCCACCTTACATCCTGTCAAAATGTGCCTTAATGTGGCAGGTGATGAACACAAAGGACAAGAGGGATCCTCTCCTACCCAGAGGTTTAGGTTCTGCGGTGATGGGAGAACATCATATGTTGACCTAATAAGGAAACTGATCCTACTCTCTTCCATTGACCAAAGGTCTTGCCAGCCCATCTTACGTTGTTCCACACTCTCCCATCTCATCCACTCTCCCTGCTTGGCCTGTGAAATGGCCTTTATACACCTCATCCTCTCCTCCTGCTGTCGCACCTCGTTGACTACCAGCTTCCTCCTTTGAGCTGGGCCTGCCTTGTGCCATTTAGGAGGAGCTAAACTGAGCCCAAAACCCCCTCTTCCATGCTGTACCTGTCCCACGATATCCCTAATTTGAAGGGCAGCCTTTGCCTCTACTACAGATTTCTTTGCTGACCACTTTCTACCAGTTTTTAACGCAGGGGCTGCCTCCCTTACACATCTGTCGCGTGACTCTACTAAGGTCATTTCCAGTCTGACCTTGGCACACTTGAACTCCTCAGTTAAAGCAGAGACTGGCAGCTGCAATATTCCTTTACTATAAAGTCCTACTCTGCTGAGGCAGCGTGGAACTCCCAACCATTTCCTGATGTATGAACTTACCAACGCTTCCAGCTTATCCACTGTTGTCAAAGAAACCTCGTACACGGTCAGTGGCCACAGCAACCTCGGCAGTAGACCAAACTGAAAGCACCAGAGTTTTAGTTTACCAGGTAGAGCACAGCTGTTTATGCTCTTCAACCCTTCCACTGCTTGTCGTCTAACTTCTCCCACCCGAACTGTGTCCTTTAGATCCCCATCGTACCATCTCCCAAGACTCTTCACTGGCTTCTCAGAAACTGTTGGTATTGCCTCACCATTAATGAAGAATGTTTTATCTACTACCTTTCCTTTAACTATCGAGATGCTCCTTGATTTAGAGGGCTTAAATTTCATTCGTGCCCATTCAATATTATCTGTTAACTTCCCCAATAACCGATTAGTGCAGGCTACTGTTGTAGTCATGGTTGTCATGTCATCCATGTATGCTCTGATTGGTGGTAGTCGCATCCCAGAAGCCAAGCGCTCTCCTCCTACTACCCATCTTGATGCCCTCATGATTACTTCCATCGCCATGGTAAAAGCCAGTGGAGAAATGGTGCATCCTGCCATTATTCCAACCTCTAGGCATTGCCATGCAGTGCTGAATTTTGGAGTTGAGAAACTGAATTGCAAATCTCCAAAATAGGCTTTCACTAAATTTGTTATTGACATTGGTACTCTGAAAAAATCAAATGCTGCCCAAAGAAGCTCATGTGGCACTGAACCATATGCATTAGCCAAATCCAGGAATGTCACATGGAGCTCCTTCCTCTCCTTTTTAGCTGACTGAATTCGTTGCCAGATAACATTGATGTGTTCTAAGCATCCTGAGAATCCTGGAATACCCGCTTTTCGAACTGAGGTGTCAATGAAGCCATTCTTTAACAGGTAGGTGGACAATCTCTGGGCAATAATGCTGAAGAAAATCTTACCCTCAACGTTTAATAGTGAGATAGGACGAAACGGACTGATGCTTGTAGCATCTTTTTCTTTAGGTATAAAGACTCCACCTGCTCTGCGCCATGCTCTAGGTACAACCTGTTTTTCCCATGCCACTTTTATCAATTTCCACAGAATTCGCAGAACTCCTGAAGCACTCTTGTACACTCTGTACGGAACTCCATTAGGCCCTGGAGATGATGAAGCCCTTGCCTTTCTCACAGCCTGCTCTACCTCTTTCCACTTAGGTGCACAGACCTCCATTTGGTATTCTGGTGGGTTGATAGGTGGTATGTCTGATGGAATTGACATAGGCTCATGCCTTTTTGCATCTGTATGCGTGTCCTCCAAATATCTCTCTAGCTCAATCCTAGATGTTTTTAAAGTGCCATTCTTCTCACTGGTGAATAACTTCTTTACGAATTTGAATGGGTCTTTATAGAAATTAGCCCTCGCACGTTCCTTCTTTTGTAGCGTTTCCGTAGGCGCTCAGCTCTGCGTAATGTTGCCAGCTTATCTTTTATGGCCCTTTGTAGGAGATTGAGTCCCTCCTTCTGACTTTGTTCTGCTCTTTTCCATTGCTTCCTCAGCTGTCTCCTTTCTCTAACTAACCCTTCAATTTTCTGCTGCCGTCTAGACATTCCAGGAGTAGTTTGTACTTTTTCCTTCCTTTTTTCCACACCAAACCTCTCACTTCCATATGCGTAAATGATGTCCCCAAATTTATCCAGCTTCTTTTCAACTGTACCAGTTAATCTTTCCAATGCAAAGCATAGATCTGTGTTTACCGTGTCCCATGCACTTTTCTCACAAGCTCTTGGCCATCTAACTCCAGGCCTATGCCCGTTGAGGTTCTTTTCTCTCTTATGCTGGTTAGCCTGACCGGGTTCACAAGTATGAATATGTTCATCACTAACTGTGCAAGCCCTCCTTTCGTCAATGACAGGGGTGCTGATATCCTGCGAGCTGTGGTTTGCTTCCTGTCGCTGGATTTCATTCGACTGACTTGACTGACTTCGTAAGAAGTACTGATCAATGCGAGGCCCTTGTCCCTTCTCCCTCAAGCATTTCATTTTGCCTTGATGAACCTTCAAACCCCTGACCGTTGTCACCTTGCTCCAGCCACAGACACAAACTTGGAGTTCAATGACTTTACTTACTGCAGATCTTGAACTAGTCTTACTCTCCATACTCATATCCGTTTCCATTCCTAAGTCGTTAACCATGTTGTCCAACATTGAGTCATCTTCCGCCCCCGCTCTCGCAGACTCTAGGGGTATTTTTCTCTTTAATTTCTCAGAAGCCTTGGGCGGGTGTCTCCAGCATCCTGTAAACACGGAGCTGGATACTGCCGACAAGGGTAGCTAACCCTTACCAGCCCCATTGGGGTCTCTTTCCTCCTGTCAGCTGTCTCTCCAGGCTGTCACAAGGTCTTTCCCTGGTTGCCAGCAGCACTATTCACCGCAGTCACTGGATGTATCCAGATCTTCATGATTTCCATTACACGAGAGTAGATGTTAAAACTTCATGCTGATTTGTACTCGGCTTTCGCCAAGATAAGCAAAACTAAGACGTAGCTTTACAGTAAACTATGTTTCTCCATCCATTTACGCTTCTTTCCATAAGGTAGTGTGACTGCCCTTCTGTCCGGCGTTAACGGCAGCAGTGTACTTGGCGCGTTAGCGCACGCGACGGCTGCAACTACAGGACCAGCACGACAACCGTCTGGATTGAACCGAGTTGGGGACATCTCTAGGGTCTTCAAGTGGGCACCTTCCGTCCTCAGTGTTTCGTCGACTAGCCCACGACACCTCAAGAGGGCTCGACAGTGACTCTGGCGTCCCAGAGTCACCCCCCTCCGTCCCCCACTCAACTCAGCCCAGCTTACTGACCTCTACATCCCTCCTGCTGCTGAGACCTAACCACAATATCACAATCTCTCCGCGACCCAACCATACGCGCCAACCCGTTGACTAAGGCTGTCGAGCCCCACTGGTGCGTTAATATGCAGTTTCAGTGGACAACGGTTCCGTATGGCATACCACCTACCGCAAAACACAATATCTACCCAACCACCCGTCATTCACGCAATATCCACAGGAATGTATACAAACAAACCAACAGACTCTTCAAGTTTTAAAGAACTCTACGAAACCGTAGCGTGGCGGCCTGTACACAGCCAGCTAGAATCTTTCCGTCTCAACCACAGCCAGTTGCTGCTCCTTTCTGCTGCTTCAGATAAGTTCTTTACTGTGCGACGCAACTCTTGGCCACTGAATCCGACGTCTCTGAGGAACCGGGTTGTAGAGTGTGCCACAAAACCTCGACAACCCACTTCCACTGGATAAACCTGGACTCTCCATCCTCGCTGTTCTGCTTCAGTGGCCAGATGAGCATACCGCAGTTTCTTCCTCTCATATGCCTCATCTACCGCATCCTCCCATGGCACTGTTAACTCTATCAGTTGAACAATGCGTGCTGATCCAGACCACAAAACAATATCTGGTCGTAGGTTAGTGGTGGCAATCTCAGGTGGAAAAATAAGCCGTTGGTCAAGATCAGCCAGCATCTTCCAGTCCCTAGCAGCTTCCAGTTGCTTCCAACTTCCACAAATAATATTTCACACTTAATTTACATTTTACAGCTTGATTGCGAATGATGCACAATATTCTGTGATATTGAAATATTGAAATATTCTGTGGAATTGTTGATTGTAAAGGGAAATTATGGCACAAGTGAGGGAGAGGTGTAATTTGTGTAAAACATCGTTTTTTTTGTTCATATTTCATAATTTTTGAACAAGTAGTCATTATAAATTATTAACAATTAATGAGTAATAATAAGTATTAAATTGTAATTAGTATTATATTATAGAATTGGTCAAATAATTAGTATTAATTCATATTTTGATTATGGTTTTTCCTTTTTTAAGATTAAAAACAAGTCTTAACAAGGGTAAAACTATTAAATCTACACATAAAAGACATTTGACAAGTAGAAAAAATTAAAGTTTTATTCTGACCTTCATGTGACAAAAAGTAGTGAAATCAACCTAACATAAAAATGGAATTAATATAAAAGTGCCTGAAGTTGATCATTAGTGAGTGTATGTTTATGTTAACAGAATAAGGAATCATTAGAGATACAGATAAGGCCAGAACTCTGCAGTCAGCCAGTGGTAACAGTAAAGAATAGCTAATTGTGGAAGTTCCACTAAAGTTTTCTACAGGCTGACAATATGACACTCTGATGGATGGGCATATACAGTAATAAGTTTGTTAAAAAACAATGTTTTTCTGTGTTTTTACTGTATGTCTCTCTCTCTCTCTGTCTGCAGGCCTTTGTAAAGTGTCACTTTGACTATGACCCCAGTCATGACAACCTGATCCCCTGTAAAGAAGCTGGACTCAAATTTAGCAGTGGAGACATCCTTCAGATCTTCAACCAGGAGGACCCTAACTGGTGGCAGGTGTGTGTGTGTGTGAATATTTGCCCCTTAAAGGGGTGGTTCAGGATTTTGGACATCGGACCTCATTTCCAAGTTAGCCTGGGTGTTATTTATCAGTGGAGACAGTTTTCAAAAATTTTCATCCAGTCGTTCCAGTTGCATAGTTCGCCGGTGCTAGGCTAGCGCGAGTCAACGGTAACTGCTAGCCTGCCATTAAAAACAGTTTTACCCACTCCACAGCACACCAAAAGCAAATAAATTATAACGCCAGACTATCGATGTAAATGTCTGTTAAGATAATAATGTTAAAAATCAAACTACTCTTGCATCTCTCAATGATCGCAATACATTTACAGGAACTAGTTTCTCAGCAGCGGCGGAATTTTACTTTGCTCCGGTTAGTAGTACTGCACCGAAAAGTAAACACAGAACCGAAGCGCACTACAGTCGGGACTACCTGCACTACCTCTCTCTACCTCTCTCTCTCACTACCTCTCTCGGTTGCCTAGGTAACTTAATATCACTTACATCGGCATTTACATCGATAGTCTGGCGTTATAATTTATTTGCTTTTGGTGTACTGTGGAGTGGGTAAAACTGTTTTTAATGGCAGGCTAGCAGTTACTGGTGAGCCTAGCCTAGCACCGGTGAACTATGCAACTGGAAGGACTGGATGAATTTTTTTGAAAACTGTCTCCACTGATAAATAACACCCAGGCTAACTTGGAAATGAGGTCCAATGTCCAAAATCCTGAGCCACCCCTTTAAGCTCTGTATGTTGGTCTTACCTTGAGTCTGGTTTCACCTGTAGGCGTGTCACCTGGAAGGAGGCAGTGCAGGCCTGATCCCCAGTCAGCTGCTTGAGGAGAAGAGAAAAGCTTTTGTCAAGAGAGACCTGGAGCTCACTAGCACAGGTAGGACACAGGCCACTACAGAGTAGGGATATGTAGTGGAGTATTTATTGTGTGGAAGTTTGATGATTTCTGAGCGATCATGTGACACAGAAGTCTATAGTAATGATGACAAGTAAAGACCAAAGACTAGTAAAGAGTAATGATGCTGAAAATTCAGCTTTGCCGTCACATAAATAAATAAATTACCTTTTAAAATATATTTAAATAGAATACAGTTCTTTTCATTTGTAATTATATTTCACAATGTTACTCTTTTTATAATATACAGTGCTGGTCAGAATTTGTAGCCCCCTCGGTAAATATGATCAAACATGGCTATAAAAAAATGTATCTGCATTGTTAATCCTTTTGATATTTTATTTTTAAAAAAACTTTCATTGAAGTAAAATAATTGAAAGTGGGGGGGAAAAACACATTATGAAATAAATGTTTTTCTCCAAAACACGTTGGGAACAATTATTTGCCCCCCTTATATTAAAAACTTTTTGCAACCTCCTTTTCCCAAGCTCTGAGATTCCCAGATCCATGCTGGCGCTTCTTCTCTTCAGTTCAGCCCACTCATTTTCTATAGGGTTCAGGTCTGGGACTGGGATTGCTATTGCAGATGCTTGGTTTTGTGCTCAGTGACCCATTTATGTTTTGATTTTAATGTTTGTTTTTGGATCACTGTCCTGTTGGAAGATCCAAACATGGCCCGTTATAAGATTTCTAGCTGTCAGGTTTTGATTTTTTATCTATTGGTATTTGATCGAATCCATGATGCCATGTATCTGAACAAGATGTCCAGGACCTCTGGCAGAAAATTAAAAAAGGGATAAAGGGATAAAAAAAAGTACCTCATGTGTAAAATGAAATACTCTGCTGTATCTTTAATGCTGTGGGCCTAATTTTCTGCCAGAGGTCCTGGACATCTTGTTCAGAAACGTGGCATCATGGATTCGATCAAATACTAACAGATAAAAAATCAAAACCTGACAACCTCTGCTAGAAATTTTATAATAGGTCACTGAGCACAAAACCAAGCATCTGCAATGGCCATCCCAGTCCCCAGACCTGAACCCTATAGAATGAGTGGGCTGAACTGAAGAGAAGAAGCGCCGACACGGATCTGGGAATCTGCAGGATCTGGAGAGAGTCTGTATGGAGGAATGATCTCTGATCTCATGTCAGGTGTTCTCCAAACTCATCAGGCATTATAGGAGAAAACTCAGAGCTGCTATTTTGGAAAAAGGAGGTTTCAAAAAGTATTTAATAAAAGGGGGCAAATAATTGTTCCCAATGTGTTTTGGAGAAAACCGTTTATTTCATAATGTGATTTTCCCCCACTTTCAATTATTTTACTTCAATAAAAGTTTAGATTTTTGCTTCTTTTAAAAAAAAAAAAAATATCAAAAGGATAAACAATGCAGATTTATTTTTACAGCCATCTTTGATAATATTTACCAAGGGGGCTAATAATTCTGACCAGCACTGTATATTATCACATTCAGCTTATGACTTGTGATTGTTTTACGTGTATGTTTACATAAAATGTAGCTGCCAAAAAATGTCCAATGACTCTATCATGGTTTGTTACCCCTATAAAGCCTACTGTATCATATTTCATACATGAATTTCTAAAACTGGTTGTACACAATCTTCTCCATGCCTTCTGTCATCTGACTGATATAGTTGATACTTTTTTTTCTTAGCAAGTAATAGACCTTTTATTGTAATTATAAAAATGCCCACCTTTAGGTTGTGCTCTTTTTGCTGTGAAACCTTTAATCATTTTTATAAAGTAAATGCAAGATTAACTTTTATATTATATACTTCAAGATTTACTGGACTTAAGCAACTTAAGTTCACTTGATTATCCATGCAAAATTTTTAGAAAAATAGTGCTAAAATGGAATTATCATTGTTTTGCACTGCATTATATGTTTTGCCACAATTAAAACTACAGAGCTTTGTTCATAAAACATTTAAACATAATCTTAGAAAGGACATTTTTTGCAAGATATTGAGTGACAACTGATGTTTATATGGATTTTATGTACGTAGTCTGCAAAACTGTTATAAAGATCTCATTAATACATGCTAAAGCTGTAAGAATGTCATATTACATTATATCTCCATATAAATAACATCTGCATCAACATGCTCAGTTTGGACCTATGAATAAAAGGTGTTTCTTTCCTCCTCGATCATGAGCTCCATATTCTCATGATATCATAAATTATGAAAAGTAGGACAATAATATCTTTCCATAGACTGCCCCTAACATGGCTTCAAAAGTAAAGACTTTAAATCCTCTGCTAACAGCCTGGGACGACACTAAACTGAGAGTAGCGCCCCCTGGGGGAAGATCAACAGCAGAGTGCTCTGGTGGTGATTATTAATAGGCCATTATTTATTCATCCACATATCGTTCCAAAACTGTATTCCGTTATTTTTCTGTGTGCACTTGGTTATTACATTAGAGCGAACTGAAAGGTTTGATAAGTATGGCCTGAGGTTAAATGTGTTGGACTCCTGCACTAGACAGGAGTCATGCTGTGTGTGTCTATACTACCAGGATGTGTGCTGATGTCCGCAGGGGCTCTGTGTGCAGGGATGGGGGGTAAGAAGAAGAAGAAGATGATGTACTTGACCACCAAGAACGCTGGTAAAGACGACTGCTCCATCCGTCCAGTGCAACGGATGCGCATGTGTCATACTCTTGATCTCGGTTGTGCTTGTTGTTGTTGTTGAAGTCAGTTCTAGAAGTCTGTTTCAAGCTAAAATCATTTGATGATGAGTTTGCTGTCAGTTCCATTTCAGGGAAGGTGCTTCAGGTTCATAAACGGAAATGCATTTGTTTACTCAAAGAAAATGAGAACTACGGTACATGGAACCTCAATAAAGCTGAACTGGAACTGACAAGTAATGAATATGCATATAGCGACTAAATCAGACTAACAAAAGATGAGATGTTTTCACTTTTCCAGAGTTCGACCGGCACGAGTTGAGGATCTACGAGGAAGTGGCCAAGGTGCCGCCATTCCGCAGGAAGACGCTGGTCCTGATTGGAGCTCAGGGAGTGGGACGCCGTAGCTTGAAAAATAAGATTTTGGTGTCGGACCCGCATCGTTATGGAACCACAACACCCTGTCAGTGCATATTTATAATTTTGATTCAATATTTATCTATTAAATAAATCATAAATACATTTTAAATGTATTTAAAACCCTCATGTCGTTCTAAACCCAGAAGACTTTCGTTCATCTTCTGAACTGTCACGTTGTGGGTTTAGTGTCTTGTTCCTTGTTCTTGTCTGTCTTGTGATTCCCTGATTGTCATGTGATCCTGCCATGTGTCTTGTCATTTGTTAATTGTCTGATCATTGTTCACATGTGTTCCTTGTCTTGTAATTAGTCTGTGTTTGCCCTGTGTCTTTATCTAGTATTGAATTTTTCTTATCTTTTATTTGTGTTTCCAGGTTTCCTGTTGCTGTTGTTGTTCTTGTTTCTGTTTCATGCCTTGCCATAAGTTTGATTATGTTTTGAGTTGCATTTGGGTTCTCAACCAGCTTGGCTCCAGTGGATTCATTCGTGACATGAACACAGATGAAGATCTTTTTAATGAAATCTTAGAGATTTCTGTCCCTGCACTGAAAGTCTATTCACCCAAAACTCAGATCTAAATTAAATCTGCTTCAGCAATCATGTCTCTTCAGAACACTTGGATTGGAAACCGCTTGGTTATTTTACGATCCCTTTACGAATGTTTTGAAGAATAAGCATTTTTGGTGAATACACTTTCAATGGAGGGATAGAAATCTCTCAGATTTCGTAAAAAAAAAAAATCTTCATTTGATTTTTCCGTAGATGAATGAAAGTCTTATGGGTTTGGAACGACATGAGAGTGATTGATAACAGAATTTAAATTTTTGGGTGCCTATCCCTTTAAGTTGGCTTTATGTTGGATGGAATAAAGGTTCTGTCACATTTACTGTTCCGCCAAGCTACTGGGTTTTAAAGTCACTTCTGTGTGAGCTGTGCTTCATACAGTTCATACACTACTGATAATGGACCTTTAATGCTCACGAAATTTTATTAATGTGACCACAATTTTATTATTATTTGTAATTATTATTAAAGCAATAATTTACCAGTTACACGACCATATCAAAAACAAACAACCGTCCAAAAATACACTTAATATTAGCTGAATACTAGGAAATAAAATATACTGTTTGGCATAAATCAGATGATTTGCACTGCTAATATTAACCTGACCCTTTTTGTCCCTGTGGACAGACACATCTCGTAAACCCAAGGTGGATGAGAAGGAGGGGCAGATGTACCTGTTTATGTCTCGCAGCGAGATGGAAGCTGACATTAAATGTGGCCGGTTTCTGGAGCACGGGGAGTACGATGCAAACCTGTATGGCACCAAGATCGACTCCATCCATGAGGTCGTGGACTCCGGCAAGATTTGCATTCTGGATGTCAATCCGCAGGTGCCCTTTGAAATGTTCTATATCCTATTTACAATGACTGTTCACAGGAGCAAAATACAACTAATGCATGATGCTGATTGTATCAAGCACTTACAAGCTTTCCAGCAATGCAAATAAATATTACATTTATACAGTTATCACCCCATTTAATATACTTTTCATTGCATACATTCTTCTCCTACAGGCACTCAAAGTTCTGCGAACAGCCGAGTTTCTTCCATATGTGGTGTTCATTGAAGCCCCAAACTTTGAGGTTCTGAAAGACATGAACAGATCTGCCATCGAGGCTGGTGTTGTGACTAAACAGATGACGGTAATTCCTTTCTTTAAAGTTTTTTGCATAACAGCAGTCTATGTGGGCTAAACTGTGGATTATTTATCATTGCTTTGGCACAAAATGCATGCAATGACTAGTTTTTCTTTTTTAAATTACAATTCTCTTCTCACTTAAACACAACCACCGCCTAAACTCTATGTAGGCCAATTTGCACGTTTACATACTCTTTTCAAAATGGTTAAACTTAAGTTAAAAACTTAACATAATACAAAACTGAACAAGACAGTCATTTGCTACATTTCTACAAGAATACCATATAGAAATATATTCCAAATCTAAAAATCAAATGCTATCAAAACAATTAGATGTATACACAGGTGTTAAGTCTTTCAATTTCATCACCATCTATACCAAAGGGAAAAACTTTTGAACTCTAATGTTAACATGGACATACTGCAGTGAATTATAAACAATAGAGAACTGTCATTCTTGTTTAAAAAAAATAATACTTTTTTTTATAATAGCAAACATTGTCTAGTGCAACCTGTTGTTAGCGTTTTTGAGGTTTTACGAGTATTAAAGTGTCTTTGTTGGATGAAAGTCTTTGCTAGTGTTATGGAAAAATGAGTTGATTTGAGACATGTATAAAGTGTTTTGGTAGATTTAGTGCATTTTGGATGTGAACTGCTGTGCCAAGAAGAGAACTGTGCGAGAAGTTTTGAAAAAGTTACTCAAGTATGTGTCCTAGCGATTTAAAAAAAGCCCTGTAATTCTTAGTTCCCTCAATGTTGACTATATTAGTGTCTCTCTAGGACTCAGAACTCAAACGGACGGTGGACGAGAGCGAAAGGATCCAGAGGGCGTACAGTCACTATTTTGACCTGAGCATTGTGAACGATAACCTTGACGGAGCGTACCGCAGCCTCAAGAGGGCGCTGGACAGACTCAATACAGACCACCAGTGGGTTCCTGTCAGCTGGGTCTTCTGAGAGCAATTCACCAGTTGGGTTCTTCTCACAGTGGCTAGAGTCTAGTTACCTGCTGTAATCTATATGAACTTGCCTGTTCTTTAGATTTTTGCACAGAAAATCATGACAATACAAAGCTAGTTTATTATTTTGTAAAAAAAAAAAAAAAAACTGACCTGATCTGTATATCTGTATTTGTTTTAAAGGAGTTCTGTACAGTGCTGTATGTTTGTTATTCCTGTTAGAGTAGGGCTGTATATTTGTATAGAAACTGTAGAATATGTATTAGCACCCTACGTTACAATGAAGATATTCAGAATCATGTTGGATATATCAATGCTATATGATTACGTAGTGTTTTGCAGGGATTGTTTAGTTTTGATGTATTATTAGCAGAATTGAAGAGTGTTTTGGCGTGTTTACGGTTGTGTCATATTCTCCTGCATGTTCTGATTTGTGTCTTTTCTTGTAACATTTGTTAGTATAAAATCGATTTCGGTTCAAAAAACAACATATCTCACAAAATATGTCAGTTGAAATGGATTAGACTGTGTGCATTATAAAAGGTTAAAATTTTATTATTCCATTCCAAGACTTCTAGAATACTTCACTGTGACTAATCAATCGCAGCGTTCTGCAGTCATATATTTTTCTATAATGACTTAAAACTATATAATTGACAGTTGCCCCAGGAAAGTGATTTCCTACAGATGTACTAGATTCACTGTGTCTCTTGTATCACTCCACACACTCTTTCTTCTCACATAATAAAAGAATATCAACTCAAATCAATAGTTCATGTCCATTTGTTTATTTGGCGAGTAGGCTACTAATGTAATCTAATAATAATTAGGGTTTGCGAAAATGCTGGGCATATGCATCACAATGAGGAAATTAAATACTATTACTATTCATTGAAAATGTATTTGATGAAATAACCACAGATTAATGTGACTTAAAAGCTAGTTTCATTTAATTATGATTAATTTAATAATAATTTAAAAAAAAAAACAGGTTCAGCAAGTATACAAAACAGCGTAATTGCGTACATGAATGAGTGTACAGGTTTGACAATACTTGTGAGGTCCAAAATGTCCTCACTAATATAGCCTAAGCTACTGAAACCTGTTGAACACAGACTGAGCTGGACCTCACTAGTTAAAAAGGCTTATGAATCGGCCAAATCAGGTTTCTAATTTAGATTAAGTATTTTGCACAGGATTCGGTCAGGTTTTTAGTGGCCTCATTTATAAAATGTGTGTTTGCACAGATTTGAACTTGGAGTTTGTGTACGTTTGTCAACGTTCATATAGAAACAGTCTTTGACGTGGAAAAGTGCTTGGCACCACGCCAGGTTCTAAGAGATGTAGGCCTACGCACTTTTTTTTCTGTGGCAGAGTCGGAGTATCGCAGGTAGGCTATTTGAAAATCTAAGCAATTCTTGCCGCTCGACGTTCTCAATTTATTTTGACGTTGACTGTAATCTTTTATTTTAATGACATTAATTAGTCGGCGACTCGGCGTTAAGGCGGAGATTTGAAAATTGCAGCTGCGCACAATTTCAAGATAATTTGCGATATAGAGCTGGTAAGTCCCGCCCATCCGTAAAACTCCAAGTGGACCTCTAGGTTGAAAAAGCGTCAATGCAAGTGAATGAGAGAAAATAATTATTTTCTGATCCCGTTTGAATTGTGCCATGAATGTGAACATATGTTGTCTGTGAATTTTTTATATAATTTCTCATGTAACGAGTTTGACAGTATATTGATTCTTTGGCTAGCAGTTGTGGAATAAACATAACGAGAAAGACTTCACGCCGCATATGTGACGTCACCGCATAACACATTTTCCCTTCACAAATCACTGTGCGATAATCTAAGGAATTAGATCGAGATGCCTGTGTGTTTTGAACCCAAATGTCACCATGAAGTGCACCAAAGACACAGGCATGTTTAGCGGGATCCCTGTGCTAGTGGTGGTGACGTATATCAAACGCGTCGAAAGCAGCGAAGAGTTGTAGTCCACAAAGTGCTCTCACACAAAGTCTAACAGTATGAAAATTTTACCCGCTAAATTGTAGTATTCTTTACACGAAAAATTATATAAAAAATTAACAGACAACATATGTTCACATTCATTGCAAAATTCAAACGGGATTAGAAAATAATTATTTTCTCTCATTCACTTGCATTGACGATTTTTCAACCTAGAGGTCCAGCGGGGTAAACGGAAGGGGCGGGACTTACCAGCTCTATAGATTTCACTACCCAGCCCACTTTTATCTTTTGGGGACAAATTTGCCGGTTTTTCTTTGTTGTACAAATTCAGAAAGTTTTAGTTAGGGTTAAATGGGTAAGCAATGTTTTTCATAAACACTGTTTGTTATTCTAGTTGAAACTCTTTTCACACCCTGATAGCAAACAATTAGCCTATAAATATAAAAAATGCAAAAATTGGCCTATCTTCTGTGTAAGTCACAGGACCAAAACATTTTTCGTCCAAAATCGGTCTAAATGCGATGATGCCATTTCCTACCTGCCTGTCAACGTGTATTTAATACAAACCTCCACACACCATGCAGAGTTTTGCTTCAACCCTAATCAAACACACCTGAACAAGCCAATCAAGGTGTGTCGGAGCAAAACTCTGCAGGACAGGCTCTCCAGGACCGACGATGACCACCCCTGCTCTAGGCCTTTACAGTTTTTCTCAATTGCTAAAACACAATTTCTGAATCCTTGCTCCTTTTTCTGAAAACATTAAACACAAAACCTCATCTTCAAGCACTATTTACAAAACCTCTGACTCTTCTTGCAAAATGAAACTTTCGCCTCAAAACAGTTTTACTTGTGTTCAAAATCAAACACTGCTCTCAAATCATAGACAAAGTGATCAAAATGATATACACTATCAAGCAGTCAGTAAACAATACACCAAAAAATAGAAAACACATTGTTCAAAACATACAGTTCTCGAAAGATATCTACGGACGGCTATTCTGTTTGTAGACTTACCCGTGACACATTACTGTACCATCAAAATTTCAGGGAGAAGTACATTTTTAATCTTAAAACAAATTTCATATTTGTCCGTCATTGTCTTTTGATGAATGAAAACATCATAGTAGCGCAAAATTGATCAGAAATTACTACTCTGCTTTGCTCTTTGCAATTTTATTTGTTCTTCTTCCTTGTACCCCTATTTTTACAGTACAGTGCCCTGCATCTCACAAACTTCTCCTTTGTCAGTTCTATTGTTTGATACTGTAATTCTTGTTCTTTGTTGATATGAACCTGCAAGTGCAACCAGTAAAATCTATTGAGCATTCAGTACTGTAACAAATGGTACTGTTACAGTAACGATGTTCGGGGCCATATAATTTGTTCATTGTACAGTATACAGCCTACAATGCACTGTACTACAGTATACAATACTAAAAGGGACAAAAATCAAAGGAGTAAACGTGATCAGTGTGCTTCTTCTTGTCTTTGGGCATCATTTGAAACAGGTTAAATCAATTTTGAGTGGTTGTGTTCAACCAATGACATTTGTTCTCTATTTGTATTTGATCATTGCCACTTGTGTTTACCAGTATGGATGACGTGTGCATTACAGTGCAGAATATGTTTTGAGAATGAGAATGTGTTTAGCGTTTTGCTGAAAAGTCTAAGTAAGATCTGCAAATTGTGTTTTGCCATGTGAAATAGTTTAAGGTATTGACAACAGACTGCACAATTAGCTAAATGAGTTCAGGCAACTGAGAACTGTGTTCAGCCAATGGGTTTTAGTGTTTTAGCAATTGAGAAAAACTGTAATAAGGGTTTCCATGGCTCGATGAAAAATCTCGGGAGCTGACTTGATCCCAAATGAAATAATAACAATATCTTATGGTCTAGAGAGGGTGTTTGCGTATAGCCTATGAGTCATTCCACGAAACCGGTACGATTTTGGCTTACACATTTTTAGATTTTTTACCAATATATATTACTTTTCTGCACACCCCACAACATTAATGACATATTTAACTTCCAGAAAAACATATTTTCCCTCCTCAGGCATCAAATCCCTATTATTATTGGTTATTATTTTAAGATATGTGCACTCTTAGTCTTCAACCCCGTTATGGACAATATATAGGAGCTCTTTGAATATGATTATAAAATGTATTTGTAATGAAATCAACATTTTCCTATTAATCAGATGTCCCTCACACTAATTTAGTAATTGCAAATATAAAAGTTACACAAAATCTCACACTTTTGCTATACTAAAGCCTGAAATGGGCACTTTTTGTGACAGCAACCTCATCATTTTTTATCTATGTGGCTTAACTTCAGAATTTGAACTAAAATCAGTATTCGTATTATTGCTCTGAACATTCCAGACTGAGTTCAACAAACATTAAATTACTTTTTCATAAACTTAAAAAATGATTAATAAAAACTTACGTGTGGCAGGGTTGAGACTAGGGTAACGGGGTTGAAGAGACAGCTTAACATATAAATAGTTGTTTTTTTACTCAAATACATTATAAGATTTTCTATAAACACTGTATTTCATTATGTAACAAAGAAAGACAACCAAATATAAATTGCAATTGAACTGAGTTTTATTAACCCGACTGCAGGAAAAACAACAAAAACATAGTATACATTAGAACATTATAAACTTACTGAATAGGTCCTCAAAATAAAACGTATAACTTGTGTGCTTTTTTTGTGGCCCACACCTCTTTCAAGATCTCCACATGGCGCTTTGTCTCAGGCTTTGTGGGTGGAATGATTTCAAGGACGTCATCAAACAGGTACCAGAGGATATCATCCCGAGCCGGGCAGAAGAATCGGTTTGGCCCAACACGATGCATACATTTCACTTGGACGTGTTTCATCTGGATGCCTGGATACAGCTGTTGATCATATCGAAGCATGCACCACTGCCCAAGCAGCTCTGGACTTTCCCACTGGATTTCCTTTTCTGGCTGTGGCTGTGGATTCCCTTCACTGGCTGGCTGTGGCACAGGCACAGCAGTTCTGGCCAAAACTGAAACACATGTGTGTTGAAGCACTTGCAGTTAAACTGCTTCTATGTTGTGCACATGCAGCTGACATCAAGGTGTATCAGTTCTCCTGGAGCCAGAGTAATCACCTGGTGGATTCTCATTGTTCCTGGGACTGCTGGTATTTGCTGCAGCATTTTCTCGATTGCACTCTCAACATCCTCACTCTTCACAAAGAACAGTTTCACTGTTGTGTTTGTCTCGGTCAAGGCCTTGAACAGCTCGTGTGCATCCGGGATGTCACGTCCCTTCACGTCCCCCGACGCCGTCCGGGGCTCCTTTGCCGAGACTAGCCTAAAAAAAAAGTCCAAGAGCCAGCCTTGAATCCTCTTCTGTCTAATTCTGTGCTAAAAAGGAAGAAGTTGCCTCGTTGCTTGTACTGAGTACAGGGGTCATTGCTAAATAAGTGCAGCACATACACTTGTGGATGTGTGGCCTGAAGGTGACCCAGCACTGGATTGAGGTGTTGCCATACTGCTGGAGGGCCTTTATGTCTGCAGGGGGAGATGGTGCTGAAGCACACAGGCTCTGGTTTTCCACCAACATACAACACCCCTGTATGCAGAGTGGCCTGCTGGTGTGAAGCCCCAAAGTGGACTGCTTGGATCTGGGAGCTGTATTTGCAGCTGTGATTTTCTGAAAAATCAATATGTATCAAGGCCTCTTCCCCTGACATGTTCCTCTTCAGCTCGCGGGAGAAGGCTTTCTGCTGCTTG